GTTGCACACCCCTGGTATAGGGGTTCAGAGGACTTGGGAACAGCAGCCTGGCTTGATGGCCTGGAAGCAGCCACGCTCTGTCGCGCCACCCCCATGCTTGGGTCTCGTGTTTCCTGGTACCTAGAAGGACCTGGAGCAGCATCGCTGTCTCATGCTTTCCTGGAGGTACCCTTTGGGGTTGGGGTCTCTATTCACTGCTTAGCTTCTACCTTCCTTCCAGCTTTGGGTTCTGGCCAACAGCTCTTCCCCGTTGGGGAAACAATAGCCCCCAACACAAAATCCACCCTCTCCTTCCCCAGGCAGAGCCTGACTTGCCCAGGGTCCGCCTTCTACCACAGGGGTCAGGGCAGCCACTCCAGCCCCACGCAGACCGGGGCCTAAACCTGATTGGTCCGAGCTAATCCTTTTCCAGGGGTTGGCTTGCAAGTTGGTCGATGGGACGTGACAAAGACAGCTGGGGTGCAAGAACTCGTCTCCTTGCTCTCCACGCTTGTCCGGGGAGGTGTGAAGCTTTGAGCTGCATTCCCCTTGAGATCAGCAAGGGGCCAGCGGAGGCTGACCGATGTGAGCAGGACAGCAGGGGAAAGTGGAGAGAGCCTTGCCTACTCCCACTTGCCATGACGTGAGAATCAACTTTCTTCATCTTGAAGCCATCTGAGGTACTTTTACTTGCACCCAAATTTACATAGACCCTTTGAGAACCTGGTCAAAATACTGACTTCTCTTCAAGTACAGAGTAGTGAGCAATTCGGGGGGTTCCTGGTCTCCCAGGGGCTACCCACAGGTCACAACATATTGGGATTCCTGGTCACTGCGAGGCTGGCTCCTAGAGAGGGCTGGCTGGTTTAGTTCTGAGCAGCGTACCCAGCTGCAGGCAAAAGGCGGGGCGGGGGATGTGGGGGCAGTGCTGGTCTGTAGCACCTGGAGACAGCCCCTGCTTTCTCTCCCACCAGAAACTATAAATGCCCACTGAGCATCGTGAGGAGACTGGACAGAGCTCAGTGAGAGCTGGCTGGTCTTGTTTTATTTTCTTCAAAGATAGGCAGGAGCAATCTGCTCCTACCCCCATCCCTCAGGCAGGCTTGGAACCCTGCTCCTCAGGGAGTGGGTCTGCTGGCTGACAGACAAGAGGCCCAGTTTGGGACATGTGGAGGGGCCACGTGGCAGCCCTAACAGTCCCATGTTTATCACTCCCTTTATTCTCCAGGTTCTCTGGAGTCCTAACCAGGAAAAAAGACTGAGGGTATTCCTGGGGTGAAGGCAGAGGCCAAGTGGATGTCAGACTGTGATTGCTGGGCTAGGCTGGCTCCATGCTAGCCTGGTCAGAGGCCATCTCTGAGCCTTGAGGTGGGCACAGACCTAGGAGGGTCTGGCTGTCACTCCAGGGAGGGACGACACAGTCCCGCCTTAAAACCTCAGCTCTCAAACTCCATTGCCAGTGGCCAGGGGGCACTAACTGTGTCTCAGCCTGTTCGTCAGCTGTCTGGCCACAGCCTTCCTGAGAAGGGTGAGTTCAGCAGACTCTGGGATCTCATTTTGGACTCATTTTAGTTTCCTTATTAAGGTCCTCAGTTTTAAATATAGTTTGCAAGCAGCAGCAACAACAAAGTGCAAAGTCACTCTAGAGGCCACTTTGAAACATCTGGAGACAGAGGGCTTGTCTGCAGCGCCTGGATGTAGGGCCTGACCTGCCTGTGCTTCACACAAGCACTTACAGAGGCACCTCAAAGCAAGGCAGGTTTGACCCTGCTTTGTAAACTATGAACTGAGGCTTAAGTGCTAGTCAAATCTACTGATAACGCAAGTTACATTCTGATTAGACTCACATCAAATTTCATCTCTTGGACTAAGATGTATTTCATGGGATGTTTCCATATTTTCAGTCCTAATGATACATCTTTAATTAAAAAAAAAAAAGTCTCATCATTGCATTATATATCACAGATCATTAAATGCTTATCACAGTCCATATCAAGGCTCAAGTGCAAAAGATAGTTGACATTTAGCCAGGAACTTTTAAAACACTGAGACTAAATTATGACCCAAACTTACTCTTCTTAATGACACATATAAAGTTCAACTCGGAATATGGAAACAAAGTTCCCAGCAATATTAAGGAAATAAAGGTCCTTCAAAATGGTCAGTCCTTGTTTTGATTAAATTTTGCATTTTTAATATAGCTGGTATAAAGCGAAACTCTTAAAAAACATCTAGGAATTTTAAAATAAAATGAAACATCCTATTTTCAGGGTCACCAGTATCATAGTGAGATTTGTCTCTTAAACAATGACACTTAGTATCTGTGTAGTTCCATGAATACTTTTGAAGTGTCATATTAAAACCAATCTTGTGGCCTTGAGGCAAAGAGAAGCAATTAGTCTTGGAGTTGTGAATAAATAAAAATCCATTTATACACCCGTCCTTGACATGTACCTTGCAAATCTTAGAAACTTCATCTAGTGGGAAAAGAAATGTTAAATCATGAATACCAATACTAATCACATTGCCATGTGGCTTCCTAAAATACTTTAGTTCATACCAATGTTTTAAGTATTAATTTATATGTATATATTCATCCATATTGAACACAAAACAAAGAGGCTCTAGCAGGCACATAGAAAAGAGGGAACGAGGAGTGAGGGACGCTGGGAGCCACAAGGGCCACCACTAGGTTTTCAGTTGGTTTGTGCTCCTCATACATAAGCCTGACACCCTTTCCCAAACGCTCCTCCTCCCCCCTCCCCCCCCCCCCTCCGCAAGCACCAGCAAGGAAGGGGTAAGGTTCTGTCCCTAAAGAAGTTTGGGGTGTCCACAATGCCCTCCTCCACTTGTGATCCCAACCACCATTTAAGGGAGGATTCAGGAGGTCAAAGTATTTGGATACTTGCTTCACTTCCTATTTGGGTCCATTTCTTCAATGCCGGATGGGGTGTGTATAAATGGGGGCTTTGCTGTCCCTTGGCCTTGTGCAGCCCTGGAGAGATTGGGGCTGTCAGCCATGGAGCAGAGCAGAGCTCACCTCCCGGGCCTGGCAGGGGTGCAGAGAGACGGGTGCTGCAATCGGGCAAGGGCTGGAGGCCCAAAGCCCAGTGGTGCCGCGACTAGGGGAGCAGTGGGCTGTCCGTGGGGTTGGCTGGAGCCGCTGCACAGATCCCTGACCTACTTCCACGGCCCCTTTCGGGTCTAGGAGCAGCTAAAAATCCATAAATTAAGGATATTAACTGATGGGGCCTGCGGCATCCTTATAAGCTATTTAAATCTATAAATTTACAACATCTTCTGCATATATCAAGTAATTGAACTAACTGCAGGGATGTAACTTTAATGAGAAAATTTCCCCCTTCTGTAGTTCAAGCTCTAAAATAAATAAATAAATAACATCTTCCCTTAGGAGGAAAGTTTCTGTTTATTCCCGCGTGGAGAAGTTACAGACGCGCAGTCCGGGCGCTCCTTCCACGCGCGACGTCCTATAGTCAAGGGAAGCTGGCCCCCTACTTCGTCCACCTCCTACCAGCGCCCCTCGCCCATGGCCGACCCTCAGTGCCCCCAGCGAGTGAGACCGCTAGGGGGCGCCGAGGTCCGGTTAGAGCTCGGGGTGCGGGCCCCGGCGCCACTCCGGGACCGAGAGCACCCACCCTCCAGCCCTAGCCTGGTTCTCGCCCCGGTGTCCCCGGAGCCGGACGGGGGACTCAGTACAGGCCCTGAGCACTGGCGTCTCCAAGCTCCGTTTCCTAGGAGCCGGGAAATGGTCTGGGAGTGTGTGTGGGGGCGGGAGGGGGGGGCGGCCGGGACGAGGGGGACAGGCGGGGCTCCAGGGAAAGCGGAGGAAGGGGAGGAGGAGGTAGGTGAGAAAGAGGTAGGAAAGGAGGAGGAAGGGGCAGCCGATTCCGGGACCTGGGAGTGACGCCCCCGGCGGGCTGGCCTAGGCGCCGTTGGGAGTCTTGGCCGCAGACGTCTCCAACGCGCGGCGCACGGAGAGGAAATGGCGCGTCTGGCCCCGGGCGGCCTGCCGGGCGACCCCCTCCCCTGCGGTGGCCGACCGCGTGTCCGCAGACGTCACGGGCGGCGCTGCTCCACCGAGAGGGGCAGTCAGGGCAGAGACCGGGGGAGGGGGAGGGGCGGCCTTGGCCCCCGGCTCCGCTCCAGCTCTGGCAGAGTCGCAGCCCAGTTTCTTCCCAAGTCCCGCCCCTGGCCCCGGGCGCCGCGGCGGCGGCTGCTCTCCTCTTTGTAACCGAGGAGTCAAGAAATGTGAGAAACGTGCCCTGTGTTACTTATTTGGGAGCCGAAAATTTATGCCCAGCTGAAAGCGCCCGGGGAAATATTACATCAGATGAAATGACAATGATTAAAATCAGCTTCTCCCCCGCCCCCTTCTGAGCCTGGAGGAGGCCCGGGCGCCGCGTGGCCGGCCGGCGGGGGGCTGGGCGGCGGAGGGCACGGGGGCCTGGGCGCACCGTTCCCGGGAGCGTCCTGGCGGAGGCCCGGCGGGAAGACACGGGCTCTGGGAGAGGCGGGTGGGAATCACCCGACGAAAGGAGGGAAAACAGTGCCTTTCTGTCGCCGAGCGCGGCAGGCGCGGGCGCGCGGAGCTAATTGCGACTCTAATCCTCTGCCCCGCGGCGCAGCCGAGCCCCGAGCCAGGAGTCGCCGCGCGCTCCCGCTCGCGCTCGCCGCGCTGGGTAATTTGGAGCCGAATCGTTGCCCTTTGCGTCCGGGCTCGGCCGCCACGGGGCGCGGGCCACCGGCTGGAGCAGGGGGCTGGTTTCCTCGCCAGCAATCGGGGAAGGCCGCTGGAGAGAGAGGAGGGAGGAGAGGAGGTGGGAGCGGCGGGAGGGCAGCCGGAGAGCGGCGCGAAGAGGAGGAGGCGGCGGCGGCCGCGAGGAGGGGAGGAGGCGAGGGGAGGGCGGGGAAGGGAGGCCCCGGCGCGCCGCGCCGCGAGGGGCCGCGCGAAGCGGGGGCCGGGGCGGGAGGGGTGGGTGGGGGGGAGGGTTGGGGGCGAGAGAGAAAGTAACTCCAGGACGAGACCGGAGCGACCCGCGCAGCGAGCACAGGCGGCAAGGCTGCGCCAGGCGCCCGAGACCGGCGGCTGCGGGGGGCGGGGGCTGTGCCCGAGCCCGATCCCCCGCTCCTGCGAGGTAAGCCCCGCGCGAGCGGCCACCTCTTAGCGCCGCGCACCCCTGTCCCCAAAGTGGCTGCGATACCGAGAAAGTCTCCCGGTCGGGGTTCGGACCTGGGCGGGGGCGGCTGCTTTGTCCCGGTGCTGGGTGGCGGGGGCATTCAGCACAAAGGCCTGGTGCGGGAGGGGGAATTGCCCACGTGGGCTGGTCCTGGCTTGGGGTAGACCCTCCCCACGCGGGCGGGCTCGGCGCTTCCAGCTGCGCGGGGCGGTGCGGGGGGGGGGGCGGGTTCAGGCCCCAGCAGTGGAGCCTAAGTGCAGGGCCGGCGAGTTTCCGGGGTCAGAACTGGGCTCACGCAGTTGGGGCTTCGGGTGGCGACGGGGCCCGGCCTGGCGCTCAAATCAGAGAGAGAAAAAGTCTCTAACGGGACAGATGTGCGTCCTCTGACGCCCACCCTGAGTGTGCGAAACGGGACGGGAGGGGTCGGCGCGCTCCTGGTCGTCCCAGGTGCGCCGACGTTTGGGGGTCCGGGGCCAGTAGAGCGGATACGCGATCGCCGCCTCTGGGTCCCTGCTGCCCGCCGGTACTCACTGCCTGGACGCGCGCACCGGACACACAGTCCCAAACATCCCTCCTTCGTAGCCGAAGCGCCTTTAAGTCTTCCCTCGCTCCCCACCCCGACTGCAGAAAGATAAGCTGCAAGTTTTCACTCCGTTTCTCAAATGTGCATGAAGGAATTTAACTGCATCGAATAACAGCATTAGTTCCCATTATTTTTTTTTTAAATCCCGCCAACGATAAACTTTGAGAACAAAAGCGCTTTTACGTCCTTAATTAGGCAGGCTTCCCATCTGTGGTCTCTGTCTGCCTCTTGATTTAACTTTGCCCTCCGCCCCCACCGCACACCCCTCCCCACCATGCCAGGCTCTTCGGGTTCCGGGGCCATCCTGGCCCGCGGCGCCGCCGGCCTCGGCCCAGCCGGCTCCAGGCGCCCTGAAGTTCACACCGGCCGGCTGGCTTCGCGGCGAGGCTGGCGCGCACCAGGTGGCCCACGGATCTCGCTCCCGGCCTAACCCCTGGGCAATTCTGCAGGCCCCTGGCAGTTTCGCCCCGGGCTGGCACACAGGGTGCAGAGCTGAAGAGAGCTAGAGAGCGCCTGCTGTTTACCTTTTATGGTTAAAATAACAGCTTAGCAAAGAAGCGACTTGACGAAGAAGCGATTTAGTGAAATCGTCTCAAGCTGCCGCAGCTCAGCCAGTTTAATCACCCCCAGAGAGCTGAACAACTGCGAGCACAATGGGACACAAAATCATTTTGTGTGTAAATGAGCGTGGCATTCTGCTCGCTTCCCTCTGCTCGGGCGGGCGGGGCTTGGCGGTGGCGGGCGGGCGCGGGTCCCCGACCTCCCGCCGCAGCTCTGAGAAGCGGGTCAATACCCAGCCAGTTTGGAAACCCGCTGGCCCTGCAACAGGCTGTTTGGCCGATCCTCGGATGGGCCGTGGTGTTGGGGCTGGGTCATGGGTTTGATACTGGTGTTGGCGGAATGAACTTGTGTCTCTTACTGCACCCATTTTTATGACCTCAGCAGTGGTCTCGGGGAAAGGGTCGTTGTCCAGCACAGATGCGTTGGTCGGAGAGAGCACCGGAGGTTCTGGTGAAGGCGTAAAGCCTGGGGCTTCCAATGGTGAGTTTCCGGTTTGCCATGCACCCCAGGTTCTGCTTGCGGTGGAAAAGAGACTGGATGATAATAGAATTGAGCAGCTTTTGTGATGGGTACTTGGTGTTAAATGTCACATAGAGTAGTGCCCTGGTAATAAGGAAAACATTGTGCAGTTTGCTTTGATAGAATTTCCGTCAGAATTCTTTCCAGCAGTTTATCCTCAGTGTGGCTTTCCTTCTGACTCCTCACCCAGCAGAGCCTCCCACGCCAGAACAACCCATTCTTGAGGTCTGTTCAGGTTTCTCAGAACTTCCTGAGATAAGTGACCCGCTTTTTTAAAAAGCTAACTGGAACTCAGGAATGTCCAAAGCAGCAGACCCTGTGCAGCCCCCAGTGAGAGTTTAAAATAAACGTCTCTGTCTTCTAATAGCACCCCCAGCCCCGCCCAGTTTTGTGTCAAGGAACTTTCCGGGACACAGGACAGAACAAATCTTAGGAGAGTAATCTTACTTAATTTTGCACAGTTTGATGCTTATTGGACCTTGGTCTGTGTTTCAAAATTGGATGTTAAATTCCAAGGCACAAAGTCAACCCTTAAGGGAGATTGCTTCTCAAGGTTTAAACCTGTAAGAGACAAGTCAGGTTAGGCTTGTGGGAATGGGGCAGGGGTTGGGGGGTGTTGATACTCACTGGACATGCTCTCCCACCCTCCCTGAGATTGGAAAGGGCTGCATAAACCTGCTCTTGCATAGGGCCTATACAGTGCCCTGGGGTGGCTTCTAAAGACTGAGGAACAATCTATTTTCAGGTGGCTGTGGAGCAGAGGGAAGGTGCTAAGTGACTGTGAGGAGGAGCAGGAGATAGGGTTCATTAGCTGAGCTGAGTGGGTTTACTTCTGGCCAGCTCTCTGATGCCTGGAGGGTGTGATCCCAAGGGAGCTGGGGTACCTGAGGCACAGACAAGACCCTCCTGGGGGTCGGAGAGGTCCTGGGCTCCCCAGCCGACAGAGGGTGGAGGATCCTCCCTGCACAGTGGTCCACAAGGTTCTCTGTTGATGCAAGAGGAGACACGCTTGGTAACATGGCTCTCAACCCAAAATACCAGGAAAATCAGATTTGTTCTGAAATATTTTGGGCAATTATGGTGAGCATATGTTTCAGTATTGTCATTAGCTGAATTAGCAGGCATGGAGCTGCCCAGAAAACGTATATGCGTGTGTGTGTGTAATTTGTTGTGGCCTGAGCGCATGGTTTGGGATACGGGGACAGGATAGTGGTGGGTGGAACCTGGAGGATGCTGTGTAGTAAGCATGGGGTCCAAGAGAGCATGTGCAGAAAGGACGATTTTAAGTGTCTGGCTCCATGGGAGACACAGCGCTCATGACTACTGAGGAATAAGCCCTCTGGTGTGTCGGTGCTTCCCACAGATACTCTGGGCAGCGATGGAAGCCTAGATGCCTCACCGCAAGGAGCGGCCGAGCGGGTCCTCGCTTCACGCCCAAGGCAGCGCCGGCACTGAGGTGAGAGCCTGAGGGTGGGCTGGTCAGTGCCGGTGGCCGCCTCTTTGCCCTCTTTCTCAGTGCCTGCTCACCGACTGCCCTGGCTGCACCTCTTCGCAGCTGCGGCATTCGAAAGATGGCTGTTGACTTGCTGTACGATTATGTATTTTTTGAAACAAAAATGCTCTTAATTTGATGTGAAATTTACTACATGTATAAAACTCAATGCCTTAGGTGCTGAAGAAGTCACTAATTTAGAGGTGTCTCGTTACCGAGACAAACTTGCAAAAACCCCTGAATCCCAATTCACAAATTGGTGATTCGTTTGTCAGGGGATATTTCACATCTAACACATAAGCCTGCGACCTTTAATTAGAATTTTGCAGTTTGTTTTATGCCCCTGGAGGCTGACACCTTGAAAATTTTTTTTCTTGATTTCTTATTGCTAATAAGCATCTTTCTTTTTCCCTCTGGTACTTTGAAGAGAATGATGCAAATACACTTAATTACAGTGGTGGCCATAATTTGTCAGCTGAATATGTGATCAGGCACAGGCACAAGTGATCTGATTAGATCTGTGATCACATTGGCAATAAAGGAAGTATACAGCTCTGTTGTGAAGAAACCCTTGTTTCTGCCTTGTTTCCATCTCTAGGAGGGAGGAAGCATGTCCCGGTTGTCTCTCACCCGGTCACCTGTGTCTCCCCTGGCTGCCCAGGGGATCCCACTGCCAGCCCAGCTCACCAAGTCCAATGCACCTGTGCACATTGATGTGGGCGGCCACATGTATACCAGCAGCTTGGCCACGCTCACCAAGTACCCTGACTCCAGGTAAGAGCCGAGCCCCTTGTAGTAGTAGACGTCAGGTGGTAACTGACAGCGTCTGCAGCCTGCTACCAGTGGGGCCTGTCTCCTTTGCTGGGGAGCACGCAGGGACCTGTGATCCTGGCTGCAGTGGTAGTGCTAGGTGGAGCTTCTGACCCACCGGCAGAAGCCGCTTATCCAGAGCCAGTCCCACCTGAAGCTGGCCAGCAGCTGGCTGAGGAACCTGACCTCCCTTCAGGTACCTCTTGAGTGGGACTCGGGCCTGGCCTTTTCAGGGGATCATTTGTGAGCAATGCCGTGTACCTCTTGGGCTTGTGTTCCGATTCCCTTGGGAAATTACATAAGGAGAGGGAGGAGGGGAAGCTATAATTTACCGTCTTTGTCTGTTGGGGTGGCTACTGCTGGACCTTGAGTGCTAGCAGCAGGCTCCCTGGAGTCGGGGGTGGGGAAAACAGTGACTGCTCTGGAGAAGCATAAGCCTCATACCTCATCAGCACACAGTGTCCCTGACCAGGACCCTCCCAACCTGGCACCTCACACTCTGCAGAGCTACCTGGCCCTTCTGCCTTGTGGGCCTATCTGTGGGAGATGCTGGGCACTCTTGACTCCTGCTCTTGCCTCTTAGGCGTCTCCCTCCCAGGGGCAGACCTGGTTTCCCATTGGCGTAGCAGCAGGGCTGACCTGGGCTCGGGTAGGTCTCCCGAGCCTGTCCCAGATGTGATGCGGTGTGCTGCTTGCTGAACCTGCAACTTCTTGCCCCTGGCACAGTGAGGCAGCCACTGCTGAGGGCTGAGCAGCAGGAAGGCCAATGCTGCGGGCATCACCCCTGTGTTTATACATTTAAAATAGCAAGAGGAGTTCATTAATTCCCCCCCAAAACCGGGCGATCAGCTCTGGGACGCTTTCTTGTCAGGCTGCCTTGTTGTCCATGTGGCTGTGCGCAGTACAAAGGACTCCTCGTGTGCGGAGGTGGCTGTATAACGGGCCGGGGTGGAGCACTCCATGGATCTGTGGTGCTCACTCAAGGAGGGAACTTTGAGGTGGATGCCGTGTCTAGTTCAGAATCTGGGCATTCTTGGGGGCAGATGGCAACTGAGGCTTCATTTTCTTGGCCCAGCAGAGGGTAGGCCTGGGACACTTTTGAACTTGGGACCTTGCGGGTGGAGGGGAGGCAGCAGCGTATTGGCCTGTGCACTAGCTTGCAGAGCTCTGTCTAAGACAGGAGCTGGATTCGGCTCATTTAATTTCAACTTTGCTCTCTGTGTGCAGTCCCAAGTTGTTTGAGATTGATCACTCCTTAATCGACTGACAATATTTGTGAGTGAAATTTATAAAACTCTTGCCCACAGCCTCTCTGAAGAGAGTTTCCTGAAATCAGACACTTGCCCTTCTGGAATATTCACAGCCCAGGCCGACAGGGAATGGCCTGCTTGTTCCTGTGTCTAGGCTGCTGCGTGGGAGCCGTGAGGGTAGGGGTGGTCCTCCCCGAGATCCACAGTGCAGCTTGTCCTGGCCCGTGGTCCTGCTCTGTGGTGGGGTCGGCCTTCCGGCGGGGAGCCGAGGCCCCTGTGACCCCTTGGCTTCAGGATGTGCCCAGAGGGGATGGCAGTTTGCATTCTTTCCTGAAGCCAGGGCTTAAGAAGAATGTGCTGTTCTGCATGGATGGCTTCTGGCTCACAGGGGACCTGCTGCTTTGGCCTGAAGCTTTGTCCTAGAGGCCAGGAGGTAGTATGACCTGTAGGACAGCCAGGGGACAGTGGGTCAAGCCAGGCCCAAAAAGTGGTTTGGGCAGCTGTGCTGGCAAAGTCCCCTCTGATCTTTCTCGTCCCTCCTTGAGTGAATCATGAAAATTAAACAACCAGGTTTCACCAATTCTGGAAACCAAAAGCAGTCCTCTACCCGGTTTCACTTTGTGAGTCACCTGGAAATAGAGAATTAAAAGTGCTAAGGTCCCCTGGGGGGTTTCTGTGTAGAAGCGCTGAAGTCCCATCCTGGACACTGCTGAGAGACCAGGGGCTCGTTCCCCCAGACCCTGAGGTCCCTGTGCCCACAGAACTATGCCTGGGCTCCTGGTTCTTGGCTGGCAGGGGTGGCTCCAACACCAAGAACAGTTGCCACCACTGGTTGGCCCAGGTACAGCTGCCAGTCATTGCCCGGAGACAGCAGAACACAGCTGCCCGGGGCTGGGAGTGGGCTCCCCGGGTCTGGCGTTGTATAGTTGCTGCCACCGTAGCTTCACTCTTGCATCCCTGTGGCTGTGGGAAGGAGCTTCAGAACTAATAAAACCTCCCACTGAAACACTGATGAAACTGGAACCAGTGCTTAAAAAAGAGAAAGACCCTTGTCAGCTGCAGTCAGAACTGGCCAGCCTATACCTTGGAGGACTTCTAAATTTGGCACCCAAACCCTGAGGCCTCCCTCAGAGGGTGGCCCAGGGCAGAAGCTGACTTTTAAGACTCTGCGCGTCTGGCGCTCCTTTGCAGCCACTGACCTAATCTTCCCTCAACCTGCTCACATTCTTGGTAGCCTCAGACCCCCAAGGGCATGAGAAGCCTTGGTCCTGTGAAGAGACACTGAATCAGGGAAAGATCTAGAACCAGCCAGTCCTGAAATAACGCAGATTGAGCACCTTCTAGTCTTAGACCAATAAACAACCAAGAACCCCGCCAGCCACAGAATGGGGTGGGTCAGGAGTCCTATAGATTCCCAGCCCTGGCATCAGAGCAACGAGCAATGCAGTTGGAACACTGCTGGCTATTAAGCCGGGAAGGGTGGAGAAGGATCCACGGGGAAGTTTTGGCTTAGGACTGGCTGGCTCCCTGTGGATGTGGCTTTTACCTCTGTCTGCTGATGCCATGTGGGGACCCCCAGCTGTCAGATGGTGACTGCCCATGGCACTCTTGCTCCATCCCGTCTGTCTCCAGGGATGCTGGGTGGCCCTCAGTCTGCTGAGGCCAGCTCTTGGGGGCTTTGACAGTTGGAACAGGCCATGGGGCCCACAAGACTTTCCAGTAGGGCTGTGTCCCCCAGTAGTATTGTCACCAGGCCTGGTGGGGGGGGGGGTTGATAGGGAACAATGGCCTTGGAGCCCTGAGATGAGTTATACCTGAGTGGCCGCAGTACTGGTTCCACAGGCTCTGACCTGCGTATGCCCATCCATGAGTCAGCCTTGCTGGGGCTGTCCCATGTCCCCAGACTCATAACAGGTCACTGAGTGGCTGCACAGCTACCCCACACCTGGGCAGACCCTCATGGCCAGTGCCTGAGTGAGCCAGGACACCAGAGTGGAAGACTGTGTAGACGGGAAGCCCTGATAAAAGGCTTTGGGCCTCTAACCACTGAACTTCTCATGTGCCCTGCCACGCAATAGCAGGGAAGGGCAGGGCCTCCGGCCTGGTGACCTGGAATGGACAGAGGGCTGGGCTGCTGGGGGAGAGGGGCACGGCCCTGGAAGATCCATGCCAGCCAGAGAGCAAGGGGGCCATGGGACCAGCTTGCGCGGGCTGGGCTGGAGGGCCTGGGTCTCAGGTCAGGGCCACCCTGTTGCCAGCTGTGCAGACAAGGGGCAGCCTTGGGAGCGTCCAGCTGTGGACAAGTGTGTGGCTCTGCCTGCTAAAGGATGCCTAGAGGTGCTGTCACTGCGAAGACGTTGCCAACCTCCCTCCTATTTCTGAGCCAAGCTCTTGGCTGTCACTACCCCTCTCTGTGGCTCCTAATTGTCCACAGTTAGGCCTGGGGTCTACATGGAAAATTAGCTAAGCCAGAGCCCGCCGCCCTGGTCATTGGGGAGGCCAAGGCCCTGGCTCTGAGGCCTGCCTTCTCCTCCCTGGAGTGGATGAGGACAGACCTCAGTGCTCCCCCAGACCTCGTGAGTTTCGTCAGAACCACTGCCCTTCCGAGGACGGGGTGCCGGGTCCTTCCTCCCATCCCAGGCCCCTCCCAGGTGTCATATCTTCTTACACTGATGTGTGTGCCTGCCCTGTTTCTGTGTACATACACACCGGGTGCGCTTACACAGGGGTGTGTGTATACTTGCGTATCCTGTGGTGTGTGCACTGTGGCAGGCATGTACACATGCAGAAGGTCCTGCCTGCCTTGGATCTCCCTTAGGGCTCCCCGAGTGAGCAGCTGTCGGTGGCTTATCTGTGAGTTTGTCACATGTACACAGCTATGTCCCTGGTTGGCTTGTGGTGGCTGGTGTGTCCTTTGCCTGGATGTATCTGGGTCTGCCTGTGATTTGTGTGTTGCGAGGGAGGGGACCATGTGACCCTGTGCCCGTTGCTCAGGTGTGTCTTGTCTGATGCCCGTCCCTGTGGGTTAGTGAAGTGGATGTGTGGGACTCAAGACTGTCTTGGCTAGTTTCCCTGTGTTCACTGGGTGTGTGGCTGTGGCCTGGAGTGTCTCATGGTTGGGAGTTTTCTGACTGGGTCTGTCTGGCAGGGGTTTGTGTGGGGGGCCAGGAGGCTGTGTCTGTGCCTTGCTCTAGTTTTCCAGGCCGGTAATGTGTGTCAGCAGGTGGGTGTGTGTAGCTGGGTGTGTCTCTCTCTGGCTGCGGCTTGGGAGTGTGGGCAGGGTGTGTGCCATGTGCTGCTTGCCCTGCCAGTGTCCTGGTTGACTGCGGCCTGGCTGCCTCTGGCGTCTGCGGACATCCATCAGTTTGGGTCACCAACGTAAGGCCCTTCGTCACTCCAGCAGGGCGGGCCCTAAGGAGTGGGGCCGGGGTAGGTGGACTGACCTTTCCATCAGACATCCCACCCTCTGTCTCTCTCAGAATAAGCCGCCTCTTCAATGGCACCGAGCCCATCGTCCTGGACAGTTTGAAGCAACACTATTTCATTGACCGGGACGGAGAGATTTTCCGCTATGTCTTGAGCTTCCTGCGAACATCGAAACTGCTGCTCCCAGATGACTTCAAGGTAAGGCCTAGCCCGTGGCCGCCCTGCACTGCCTCTGCAGTGGTGTTGCGCAGGGGATGCGGCGCCTTAGTAAGTGGGCCCATAGTTGTCATGGCAACCATAAAAAGTTAAGCAGTGAGACCAAGGGCTAAATTAGTTTTTCTAAACTAATTTTTTCTCACACTTTTAGCTTATTTATCAGGGAGTAACCACAATTAAGCAGTGGCAGCCACACTTCCCTGGTTCCATGTTTGTCATGTTGAAGGACTGTTACGTGCTGGAGTTAGAGGAGTTAGAGGGTCCTCCATCTGTTCCGTGTCAGCCATTTGGGGAGGGGAAGCCCAAATAGTCATTAGACAAAAGCTGAGCACAGGCCTCGGGGCAAAGCTGTCCAGCTTCGGGAGTCCTGTCTCGGTGCTGGGTCCGTTTGTGGCCCCGGCGATCCTGGAGGATGGGAACTCTGTCCTGGGCTACTGGTGGCTCACAGCAGCAAGTGTCTGTGCTTCCTTCCTTCTGGCACCCAGAGGTCCGGTGGCTCTGGGGCTGTTTTGCCCTCTGTTCCAGCTAGTTATTGGGTCCCAACAACTGAACTCAGGCCAAAAATACAGTGAAACAAGGCAGACGTTGGTCCTGTCCCTGTAGCACTTAGAGTCTGGTGGGAGGGCGGATGTTGAACAAAAAGGACTTGAATTCCACAGGGGCAAACACTTTGGAGAAGGGGGCAGGGAGGACGTTTCCCTGGGGGTGAAGGGGGATGGGGGCAGACAGGTGTAAGGGCCTTGGTGAGGAGGCAGGGCGGCCAGGGTCAGTGCCTTCCTGACCCGGAGGGAGGTGCTCTCCTGCGGCTGTGTGGACTAGGGGGGCAGGGAGGGAGGCTGCTGGCTGATGTCAGGAGCGTGGTGGCTGGCTCTTATTTTGATATTTTACCTCGAATACAGTGGAATGGTTGAGAGTAGGGGTGACTGAGGGAGGGCGCTCAGATTTGCAAGTGCATTGCCCTGGCTGTTGTGTGGAGAAGGCCGTGGGGGTGGGGGGGCAGGGGGTGGGGGGGGGTGGAGGAGTGGAGATCAGTTGGCCAGGAGAGGCTTTTTGAAGGCTTTGGAGCAGGGGGGAGGCAGGAAGTGAAGAGGGAGCAAAGTGGCAGCTTAGAGTTATATTTACAAAACGGACACAAAAGGCTATGGGTGTGGGTTGTTGGGGGTCAGGGGGCCCTTGAGGGTACCTCTGGGCCTGTGGCTTCTGAGTGGATCCATCGAAACCCAGGGCTGGAGCAGGCTGGCGAGGAGTATGGTACCCAACTCCTCCATGGAATTGCTGGTGGGACATGGCCTGCAGTCGTTCTGGGCTGCAAGGAAAGATGTAGGGTTGTTCTGTGTGCAGATACCATTTACGGAGCGGATGGGAGCAGAAGCTCAGGACGGAGCCCCGAGGACCCCTGTGGAGGAACAGAACGGCCCCTGACAGGCCTCCCTCCAGGGGCCTCCCTCAGGCTGGTTCCACAGGCTGGGGCCAGCCGGCGGCGGGGGGCGGGCGGGGTGGACTAGGCCCTGCTTGGGGTTGAGCTTCCTTGCCTCTCCCCCAGGGGTTCTCAGGTTCACCAGCTGACCTTGAGCCTGGCCCCACGGAGTGGCGTGAGTCAGGAGCACTTGGCTACACAGGGCTGGGGCAGGTGTGAGTGAGCGCATGCTGAGGGACAGTTGGTGTGAGCCCGTCCCTCCCGGGGTGGGGGCTGCCTGCCTGGTGAGAGGTGGCTCCCCACCCCAGATCTGTCCTCACACAGCCTGCCAGGGCTGGGGCCAGCCGGGCACTGGGCAGATCTTGTTGTCCTTTAAAATCTTCACTCCTTTCTCTGAGCTGGGTGTCTACATCCATTTTATAGAAGAGAAAACAGGCTCAGAGAAGCTCAGTTACTGATGATCAGAGGCTTCAAAGCTGGCAGATGAAGATGCCGGAAATCCAGCATAGGCAGGTCTGTTCTGTCTTCCTGCTGGGCTGTGTGCTTTTTTTGGGTAGGTGAGCTTCTCCCTGGGATTGGAGAAGGCAGCAGATCCCTAGGCATAGAGAGTGCCTCAGGTTCCTAGCCTCCTGGTCTTTCCAGAGGCTTCTCTGTACTTCAGGGACGAAGCCTCCTTGAGTGCTTGGGGCCCGATGGAAGAGCTCAGGGGATCTGGCACAGATGCACAGCAGCTTGCTGCCCTTGAGTCAAGGCTAGGACTTCTTGTGTTTGCACACATTCACTTGAGCCGCATTTTCTCCACCTGTACAATGGGCACGACCACCCGGGGGAGTGCCTTGCGGGGGAGTCACAGTTCCAGAGAATGGTGAGAGGAAGCCTCCCTGGAGTTGGAAAGGGCAGCCCCCCCCCCACCTCTCCCCTCCTTGTCTGCACATTCCTGCAGGACTTCAGCCTATTATACGAGGAGGCACGCTACTACCAGCTGCAGCCCATGGTTCGTGAGCTGGAGCGCTGGCAGCAGGAGCAGGAGCAGCGGCGCCGCAGCAGGGCCTGTGACTGCCTGGTGGTGCGGGTCACGCCGGACCTGGGGGAGCGGATCGCACTCAGTGGCGAGAAGGCCCTCATCGAGGAGGTCTTCCCAGAGACCGGGGATGTCATGTGCAACTCTGTCAACGCTGGCTGGAACCAGGACCCTACACATGTCATCCGCTTCCCGCTCAATGGCTACTGCCGGCTCAACTCGGTGCAGGTGAGGGCTGCGTCTGCCCCACCCGCCTCACCCCTGCCTCCCCAAAGCCCTCCGGTGGCAGAGAGAGATGGGGGCAGGCACAGTCCCTGAAATGGTGAAGCCCTTCGTGCCGTCTCAGAAAAGGCAACAATGTGTGGATGCATAATTTATGTCCTGCTCATAATTAAATGATGACGCCTAGGGGGTGGACTTAAAAAAATTGATCTGAACTCTTTGTTTTTTCCAAAAGGATGTTCTGTAAAAATTGTCCAGAGTACTTTCAACAAAGTGTGCTTCCTTTGACACCCAGAGTCTGAGTTTGGATTCAAATTAAATTCAGGGAACAGGAGTGGTAGGTCAGAGGCTGAGCGTGGCCTGCAGCCCCTTCCTCGCCCTGCTGGCCTGGGCCACAGGTGCCCAAGCAGCTGCCCAGAGCAGTTCTGGACTGGATTTCCCTGGATGGGTCTAAAAGTTGGGAAGCCCAAGATGCAGTGGGGCCTGTTTTCCACCAGCTCTTCCAGACCTGAAAACACACCTCTCTTTCAGGTTTAGGGTAGAGTAGACTTTGTGGGGAAAGTCCATCTGCCACCATGCACACAACCCACAGGCTGTTGCAGAACACAGGTATCAGACACAGTGACTAGACCAAACCCTCACAGAGGCAGAAACCCATGTAGACACAGAGGCCTGCAGAGGAGCCTCCTCCTCTCCACCCCCAGCTCCCTTGAGCTGACGGGGCCCTCAGGCCTCAAACCATCTGGGACTCAAAGCTCAGGGAAGCAGGTGGCTGCCCAGAGGCCAGGGGCAGGGTCTCTCTATTATTGGGACAGGTCTCAGTGAGGAGAGGGCCCTGTGACGACGTCTGGAGAGATGGGCCGGTTACACTCTGGAAAAGAGACAAGGGCTCTTTCTCCCTCCCAGAGTCAAGGCTGTGCACCTCCAAGGGCAGCGGCATAGGGAGCCCGCTTGGATATGGTCACATGCGCGGCCCCAGGGCCTGGCCGCCTCTGTCCTGCCTGCGTTTGCCAGCTGGGGGTTCTGTAGGGACCTCTGTCTGAGACTTGAGATGTGAACAGGAGAAGCTAGCTTGCCCAGGCTAGGGCTCACCTGCCTGCCAAGCCAAGCCTGGCAGACTTGCAGCTGGCATTGCTGACCCCTGTTTCTTCCCTGGCAGGTCCTGGAGAGGCTGTTCCAGAGGGGTTTCAGCGTGGCTGCGTCCTGCGGGGGTGGTGTGGACTCCTCCCAGTTCAGCGAGTATGTGCTTTGTCGGGAGGAGCGGCGACTGCAGCCAACCCCCACCGCTGTCCGGATAAAGCAGGAGCCCCTGGACTAGGCCTGGCCTCGGTACCCACCTGAGGCCCCTTGGCCCTGGAGACAGCCCAAGGACCTGGAAACAGTGCTGGGGAGTTCTGCCTGTGCCTGCTTAGCAGTCATCGTGAGACTGAGGGTGGGGCTGCAGGGTCTGAGGCCAGCCGGGGAGCCCCAGGTGTCATGCAACAGAACGTGGGGTGCTGCCGGCACGCTTCCCGGAGGATTGTTGATGTGACCCAAAGATGCGTCGGTGGGAGCTCCGCCACCAGTGCCCTGGGGCCCCCGGGCCCCCAGCCGGGTGCAGCGCCTCCAAGGCCCTGGGGCCAGCCACGGTGGAGTCGGCACAGGCCCCCGCCCACTGCAGAGGAGCTCTTCATCCTTCTCCACGCGCGGGACTCCAGTGGGTGTCCCTGCATCAGAGATGGCTTATTTTTCTACACTATTTAAAACAGAAGTAACTAACTGCACAAGCCAGAGAGGCCAACAAGGACAACACTTCTTCATCTGGTGCTCCGTTCTTAGTCAGACATGCAGTGCGCCCACCCTCATGGTGGAAGAGCTGCTGGGCCCTCCAGCCCAGGTGCCCATGGAGAGGGGCTTGAAGAGCTCTGGTTCCCACTCTAGGGACATGAAGGGGAGGACAGTGCTGTAGGAACTGAAGCAAGGCCCCCAGGGAGCTGGGCTGCTGGCAGGAGGGTGGTTTGGGTGTGCGGGACAGATGGCTGTGGAACCACCTAACACCCTCACCTTTGCTGCTACCTGGGGCGCGGGCCACACTGGGTGGGACACGTGACCTACAGGTGTCCAGGGACTCCCAGTCCGGTTTGTGTGTCCTCACACCTGGGCTTCTGAAGGAGTCTCTCCCCATCCGGACCAGCTACAGGGCCACATGGCATCCTTACCTCAGGAATGGGTCCCACGGTGAAGGGACCCACCTGTCAGCAGCATCCTCTGGGTCCACACCTCAGGAAGCTGTCCCCAGCTCTGATTTTTCCACACTAATATGCACACTGAATTTTAATGAAATTTGTAATACTAGCCTGCCGATAAGACCTGGACATAGACATACCTGGGACTCTTGCCCCGGGTTCCAACAAGGACTGGCCCTGAGGGGTCCTCATAGACCTGCTGCCTCTTAGACGACAGGCCCAAAGATGGACACCCCAGCTTTGTCACCCTTGACTGAGCTGGCTCTTCCCAGGTGGAGAAACCGCAGACAGCTGCTCGGTGGATGCGGCATACAGCCGGCACCACCCTGCATACAATGCCTGTAGACTTGTATATGACTCCTTTAATATCGTAAAGATGCTGGTGTACAATTGTTGTGTTTGTGTAAACACATGATGTTCCTAGTTCATGCCATAAACTGCTATAAAGCAAAAGACTGAGGCTCTGTCCTGTGCAGAAGCAGCTTTGGATTCCCGCGTTGGATGTTGTGCCCTTTGCGCTGGGGGTGGGAGTCCTCCCTCTTCCTTCAGATAAAGGGTGAACTGGCAGTGCTCACTGGGGGAGGGGCGAGGTCCCAAGCTGGCTGTTACTTATTACTGCATTTGGGTGTTTCCTCATCGTGGTGCCCTGTCCCCCATGGGCAGGACAGACTGAATACTCATTCACAGCCCCTAACAGGATCCAATGGGGAGGCAGGCAGAAGGTGTCCCGGGGATTATGAGCCCGGTCTTAAGTGTTTGAGATTTCCCTTCTCTGACTTTTGATTGAGATTGACATCCTCTTAGAGCCCCACAGAGCAGTAGGAGAAGGTGACAGTCCACAGCTCAGACCAGCCGGGAACATGCGGCCCCTGGCATGAGACGGGTAGGTTACCCGAGCACAGCACAAGGCCACAGTGCGTTTGTTTCCAAGAGAAAGAGTTGGAAGGTATTGACAGAGGCCTCCAATTTAAATGAGCCTTTTTGTATTTTTCCTCAAAGCCCTTATGTTCTAACCCACGAGGACCCTTTTACATGCCGAGTAAAGGCCACCAGCCTCGATCTGCCTGGAGGAGGAGAGCACAGCCGCTTCCTGTCTGGGGTTGCAAAGCAGACGCCAGCCTGCTGTACAATCTAATTTGCTGGACAAACTTGCTAGCCTTCTCCTTTGCTTAGCAACGCGCCTCCAGTTGGCACATCTGCATTTTGGCATCTGAGGTTCACATCTGAGAGGAGGAGAAAGTGTGTTTATTAGAAAGGAAGTCTTGTGAAAACAGCTCATTGCAGTGTTATGTTCATGGGTTTTTCTGGTTTGATAGCCAGCATGATTACTGATTGGTGGAGATGTCCTAATGTTTAAAGCAGAGTAGATTTTTGAGTAAACCATAGTGCTTAAAAAAAAAAAAGTACCTTTCTGAATGTTACTCTTTATTCTTTACTAAGTAAAATCAGGAAGTACGATTTTACATAAGCGGGAATTTCTGAATTTGCAGAGAAATTCTTTGCTCCCATAGCAATGCTAAAATTCTAATATGCATAATACCCTAAACAATAAGTACCAAGGATTAATTCCTTTAAAACATTTATACTTCATATGTAATACTTCCTGGAATGAATATATTGTAAGTAATCTTTAGATCAAATGCCAGCAGTATAAATGTTAAATTCTGCTCTTTGTAAACCTCCAAATAATTATTTTTTGATTATAAGCAACCGGACAGAGAGCTGTTCCAACGCCTCCAGTTCCCACTGAAACTCCGCCAGTGCAGGGGAGGCCTCGGCAGGACCGCAGCAGGTGGCATCTGCCACTCTCCAGCTTACATGGGGCTCAAAGCCAGGTCACAGCACTGCTAATATCTTTTAAAAAGTGTTTTTTAAAACCTACCACTTGACTGTGTTCCTTAGAATAAATAAAGGGTATTTTATAAATTATACATGCAGGTCTAGCGCTTTGTTCCTGATTCACGGAAACAGCCACGAGGAGGTACTGTGGCGTGGATGACGTCGGAGCCACCGCTCCTCATACTCGGGGCTTGGCTTGGCCTGGCAGCTGAAGAGAGCCTTGAGTGGCTCAGGCCCCCAGTGCTGAGCCCTCCCTATCTGAGGAGCTGCAGTGAAGGGCTCAGCTCCAAGCAGCCGCATGGTCCCCAGGGGCCTAGCGTGCACCGTGCTGGGAGCTGGGGCAGTGCAGGCGCGGACTTCTAGACTACCTTCATCTCTCCTGAACCCCCAACCTGGATTCCTGCATTCAGGGTGTGTTGGGCCTTTTGCACTAAACACTGTGTTTTTGTATGAACCAAACCACTAGTACATTTGAAAAAGAGGCAAAGACACATGGATGAAAGAAACGTGGATGTGGTTACCATGGAGCCCCTGACCAAGGAAAGACTCATTTGGCCTGCCCCAGCGGAGCCTAAGGAGCCGGGTTGGGGGCTGCCTCCTCCCCATCAAGGCAGACCTGCCAAGATGGCCCCCTCCCACCAGGCCCTGTTCTCTTTCCCGATTCTCTGGAGACAGGAAAACAGCTGCAGTGGCCCTGGAGGGCACTCTAGGACACACAAGACTGGAGTTTCTCCAAAGTAGATGACAAGGAAAAACAAAAAAATAAGCAGGGTGCTTGGTTCAAACCAATGGGGACCTCTAGGCAGAGCTGGAGGGACAAGTGTTGGCCAGAGAAGGCAGCTGCTGACCTTGCGCCTGGCACCTAGGCTGATGTGGGTGTTGTAGGGCTTGTGATGTCACAGTTTGATGGAGATGGGGACCGGTAAGATGGCCCCTTGTGGACCCAGAGAAAGAAAAAGGTATGGGCGGCAGCTAAGGACAGCTTCCTGCCAGGAGCAAGATGAGAGGGATGTGCTCTTAGAAGCCTTCAAGTTTTCTAAAGTGACCTCAGTGGAACATAACCCCAGCGAGGGTTCAGGGTCAGGAAAAAGGGCTGACCAGGGCCTCTCCCTAGAGTCATGGCCCCTGTTCAGTCCCTGCCCTCCCATCTCGGTAAGTCCAGGGGCGTTTCTCCGTGAGCTTCCGGAGGAAGGGAGAGCACACACGGCCTTTGGGCAGCCCCTACCACACGCCCCCGGCTGACCTTGACTAGGACACTAGATGGCAGCTCTCGTTTCCCGAGACTCAGAGGTGAGCAGACACGGCACCTGCCTAACCCACAGTGAGCTCCCCAAACCTTAGAGCCACAGGCTGTGGGGGCTTCCTTGGGGTCAGTGGCCCCTGCTGTAGATACGTATGTGCCTGCTGGTTGCTGTTTATCCACTTTGGAAAAGGCTGTTTCTAGTCCACCCTCCTCTCAGTGGAAGGAGGTCTTGTATAGAATGTGTGCGATTTTAGGGTCACATGACTTTGACCTACGTGGCTACAGAGGTTTTGGACATCCATTATTGAAAGGATCCTTGCTTACTCAAAGATCCTTGTCTTCCAGGCACCTAGTGAGTGCCATGGATTGACAGCAACATGTGCCAGGTGTGTGGGTGACAAGACCTCCTACAAGGCTAAGAGAAGACATTTGTTTGTCCACAAGGATTGTATACTTGAGGTTCTAAAAAGTTATCTGGGACAGAAATGTCCATACAATAGTTTTCAAGTTTGTCATGATATCAAACATGGGTTACCCCCAAATTCCTTGACTTGCACGTGGGCTAACCACCTCTGAGACCTCACTGCTGGCATCTCCCCAGTGAACCAGGCTTCTCCAAGAGTCTAATGAGAGACTGGAGGAAGGAGGCAGGCACACGCCTGCGGGAAACACAAATGTGAGTGAGGGTTGGAAGTCAGCTGCGTTTGGATTTTTGCCTTTATTTCCGTTACACAGAAGAGCCAGTCCTGAAAGCCATCTCTCAGCCTGTAGCCAGTGCTGGACATTGCTCTTCCTCGACCCAGGACCACAGCTTTGGAATGTAACAGGTGGGGGACCTCCTCACAGAGGCATCACACACCAGGACAAAATGTTCTAGAGCAGGGGCAGAGCTGGGTTAGGGCCAGGACGTCCCAGCCAAGCCCCTTGAGGATGCCCGCCCTGCCCCCAGGGGCACACAGGCCTCGCATCTCTGGTAGGATGGGCGGGAGGTACACCACCTGCTACTGGCTCGAGCTGTTCCCGGGCAAGCCTGCTCCTCGAAGCCCTTGTCTAGCATGTCACCAAAGCTTCCTCCTCTGTGTCCTGGACCCGGCCCAGGACTGCCGAGGAAGCTGCGGTTTGGGGCGCAGAGTCTGCAACAGCAGGGTGGGGCGGCAGCTCCCGCTCCGGACGCGGGCCACGCCCTCTTGGACGCGAACACACCCCCATTTCCCGGGGCCTACAGAGTCACGCCTCGCCCTGCAGCCAAACAGCAAGAAAGCAGAATTGTACGAGTATGTACAAGGTCCTGGAATTCTCGCCCGGTTGCCACACAGTATTCGGAGCATAATTGGGGGAGGTTGTGCAACTGCCCTGCCGAGAAGTTGGGCGTGCTGCGAGAGCTCTCCAAGTTCTCAGCACTGGCGTCACGGAGCCTTGGGACGGAGCCAGACGCCAGCATTGCCACCTTTGGGTGGCACTGATGGCCTCACCCTGACAGGACGGCAGTGTGGCTCTGCTGAGAGTGGGGCAGCCCAGGTCCCTGCTGGGCCAAAGGGAGTGAGTGTTGGGCAGCAGCAGGGGCAACAGCCCCGCCTGGCAGTGCCCTGTGCGCAGACGGCCGCCCCCTAGGTCCCCAGGCTGGGCGTGCACCAGCTCCTGAGGGAGGGAAAGCTCCTGGGGGGCAGCACCGGGGGTGGCCCCACCCGACTAAAGCAGGGAACTGACAGCCCCTTCCCCACCCCATGGGGTATGTGCTCGGGCAGCTGGGCTGTGCTATCGGCCCCCCTGAGCCCCCATGGGTGGGCCCATCCCAGGGCCCCAGTGAGTCACTTCCCCAGGCCCTTAAGCCTTAGTCGAAGGTGCCTCCCTCTCCAGCAAAGCCTCCTTTGTTTTACTGGTTCACTTCACAATGCTTTCCTCCCCTTGGTGCTGCAAGCTCAGGGCCTGAGGGGTTTGGGGTCACCAGCTGTGAGGAGTGCAGAGGTGGGCCAATGGATGCTGCCTGGAAAGGGGCTCAGGGCCTCCCACCTCCCACACCTCTGGGGAAACCCCCACTTCTTTGCACAGGTAGTATATGTGCAGCCCTGGAGCATTGATCCTGGACCAGGAGGACCAGTGGTCTGGATGTGCGCCCTGGCAGGCAGCCCCTGAGCCGCTGACCTGGCCCCTGACACTTCTCTAGCCTCAGGGAGAGGCTCCCTTGCCTCATATGCCTCTTTTACCCCCTTTCTCTCTCTCTCTCTCTTTCCGTGCTCCCTCCCTCCCATTGGCCTCCCCCAGTTCCCCTTGCCCTGGTGGAAGAGCCCTGTGGAAGCCCAGCCTAAGAAGGTAATTCATCAAAGCACCTTTGGTCAGAAACAAAGCACCTCAGAAGGTCTAGTCCGCCTTCTGCCTCTCCCCACCCTCCAGCGCCCCCACTTCCTCCGCTGGCCATAGTGGGGGAGGGGGGCTCATTGTCCGGGGAGTTGCCCAGCTGCAGGTAAGCCCGAACCACCCCGTTGCTGGGAGTGTCTCATGTGGTGATCATCAGCCTTGCAGCCAATTGGGGTTCTCATTTTGAAGAAGTAGAAGACTAATTTCCAAAAAAGGTATATTCGTGAAGAGATTCTCAAATTTTACTGACAAAAGTAAATTCAGAAAATGATGGAGGAGGGGGATCACAATGTCCTAAAAACAGAGGAAAGATGAAGTGTATTACGGAATATCATTTGATGAAATATATTTATCTTTGTATAAATATGTATTGTTACAGTCTGCCATGCATTTGTAGAGACCACTAGACATTAGAGGGTTTCCTGGTGGCCAGGAGCTGAGCCATGGGCATTACATACACCAGCTTATCAAATCCACAAACCACACCTGTGACGAAGGAGCAATTTATAGTATTATTTACACAGAAAAGGAAAGGCGTAAGGTCCTTCACCTTTGAGGGCCAGCAGGGCAGCTCCAGCTGGCCCCAGAGCCTGTGCCCCTGCCATTAAAACAGAAGCTAGCGTCTTAGTTCCTAGTGCTGCTATGACAGATTACCACTAATTTAATGGCTTAAAACCATGAATTTATCATCATACCATTCTAGAGCTTAGAAGTCTGAAATGGGTTTCTTTTTCTTTGTATTTCTTAAAATTTTTTCTGTTACCATTTAGGACCCTTATACCCCTCCCCCCAGGAATCACCACACTGTTGTCCACGTCCATAAATCCTTTTTCCTTTTTGCTCCGTTCCTCCACCCTGATCTCCTCCCACCCAGCTGTCAGCCTGCTCTCCATCTCTGAGTCTTTCCCCATTTTCCTTATTTCAGTTTGTTTGTTAGATGCCGCATATAAGTGAAATCATATGGTAGTTGTCTTTCTCTGACTGGCTTATTTCGCTTAGCATGGTGTTCTCCAGGTCCATCCATACTGTCACAAAGGGTAAAATTTTCTTTTTTATGGCTGAGTAGTAGTCCATTGTGTAAGTGTCCCATAGTTGTTTTATTCACTCATCTATGGATGGACACTTGGGCTGCTTCCAGATTGTGGTGATTGTAAATAATGCTGCAATGAACATAGGTGTGCTTATGTTCTTTTGAACTGGTGTTTTGGGTTCCTTTGGATATATTCCCAGAAGTGGGATCATTGGGTCGAAAGGCAAACCCACTTTTAATTTTTTGAGGTATCTCCATACTGCTTTCCACAGTGGTTGCACCAGTCTGCATTCCCACCAACAGTGCAAAAGGGTTCCTGTTTCTCCACATTGAAATGGGCTTCACCAGGTTCAGCTCAAGGTGTCAGCAGAGTTTTGTTCCTTTCTGGTGGCTCTAGGGAGGAATTTGCTACCTTCATTTTCCAGCTTCTAGAGGCTTCTCACATTCTTGTGTTCTTGGATT